TGTGGTAAGCATGGTGCTGGGCAGTTTATTGATTTTTGGGGGAGAATGCTTGTCTTTGGGTTTGGGGCAGTAGGGAACCTATAAATAAATTATTGAGAAAAAAAGTTATTTTAAACCTATTTGAATATATATGCTGTCTCCTTTTTTCCCCCTCGTGATAAAAGGTCCCTGGTGTGTTGGTTTTTTTTTTTTCTTCCAGATTTGCAGCTAAAACTGTGCACAGTGGGTCTTTGATGCTAGTCACAGTGGAACTGAAGGAAGGCTCCACAGCACAGCTTATCATAAACACTGAGAAGACTGTGATTGCTTCTGTTCTGCTGCGAGAGCTGAAGCCTGTCCTGTCCCAGGGGTAACCTGCTTACATCTGGACTTGAGAATCTGGCACACAGCAAAAGTGCCTGGCATCCACCACTGCTGCCTTTCATTTATAATAATAGCCCTTCCATCTGGCAGTGGGGGAAGAAGACACTCTTGACATTCTTGTCTCCTGCTTTAGAATGCTAGTGTGTATCTATTGTGAATGCAATACTTTCCCCCTTTTCTCTTTGCTAACCAAAGAACATATATTTTACTGTCAGTTATCTCAACTCCTAAATCCATGTGGCATTTTCTCTGTCCTGCTACTTCTTCCAGCCCTCTCGGCTCCCTTCCCTTTTTCAACAATGATGGACATGAACTGGTTACTTAAAGTTCACTGGAAATCATCTTCCTTTCTGCAGTAAGCAAAAATTAGCCTAGAAATAGTAGACATGGCCTCTCAGCTTGGTCTATGAAAAATGGGGTAGTGTACTTCTTAGAATTAAATTCAGAAACAACAATTTATCTGCAGAATTTTGTTCTATGAATTTCCTGGTATTGTAATTGGTTATTGACAACTGTCATCAGGAAATTATCTCTGAATAATAAGATAAATAAACTAGCACCTGAATAACATTTGTCTTTGCATTCTTAATGAGAAATCATTTATAATCCTGAAGTTCATATGCTGAGGTTTCTTTAAAATAAATGTTTTGAGTGTTATGTAGAGAAACAATGGGGTGAAGGAAAAACCACTTTCAAACCAAGTAGGTTTTCTAGTTATGTTACAGTCCGTTAACTCCAAGAAAAAAGCTGATATATTTAATAACAAAAACAAAAGGCTTCACGTCTTCTTATAGACAGTTTTGATCTTAGTAAAGATCTGATTACAGGCCTGTTACAACTACTGAAGAAATCCTTTGAATTTCATTGTTCCTTTACAGATTTTGATGCCCAGCTCTGATGGACTGACATGCCTTTGGAAGCTAACTAGTATAAACTAAATGATAGCAATCTTAAAAACTAGTTATATGATCAACATTTTAGCATTTTTCCCTAAAGTGCTTTTTGGGGTTTTTTGTTTGTTTTGTTTTACAAACTTAGACAAGTTACTGTTTTAATAATAATTTTGTAAAAGATTGTTCTGTAATCAGAAAACTTTCCTAATACTTTTAAAGCCAGTTGAAATTGTATTTACCAAACTTTGTGATACAAGGTAATAAGACTTTAAGATAGGTCCTTTTATATGGAGCCACATACTGATTTTTTGAAAGTAAAAAGAGAAGGTACACTGATTGAAACATTATGGAACATATATAAAGAGTAAAGAAAAACAGAAACATTCTTGGGCCATTCAGCTGTGAAAAAAATGATTTAGATTTTTCAGGTTGTGAGCTGGAGAGAAAGAAACAAGCTGGTTACATTTTCCTGCTCCTGAAATGCAGCAGTTAATCTGGGTGAAGCATTGCTGCAGCAGGAACATGCCCCTCCTCACCGTGGAGACATGTGTACTGTGATGGGGCTCACACCAAGAAGCACCTCTATAATTGCAGCCCCTTGGCATTTCCATTATTCAACCCATTTCCTAGGGCTTTACACCTTTGGATTTTTAAGTCAATAACTTTTTAAAACATTATAAAGAATTTGACAGGCCAAGTATTTGTTTTCTGAAAAAAAAAAATATATGCTTACTGTCATCAAAGCAGAGGGGGAAATGCATGTCATGATGTAGAGAGATTTTTATTTACCTTACATTAGGGCACTCATCTTTGAAAAGAGTTCATGCATTTGTCTGTTTTTTAAAATGAAGGAAATTTCAATAAATTTTACCTTTGAAAAAAATCACATTTAATACTTAATTTTTAATATGTACATTAAATTAATAATATGTGTGGTATGCTAGCAGGTGAAACCGCTCGAACATCAGTAGCTTCTTAACGTTTTTTCACATAACTGAAATGAGAAAAATTACCGCAGTCCCAAGTTAAAGGTTTAGGAGGTTTTTGGTTTTTTTTTACCTTTGGCACAGTGATTCAGAGTTCCTTTCCTCATATTTCTTTTAACTTTATCATAATCCATGATTATCTTTTAAATTGTTCCATTGAGTTGAGTTAGTCAATGTTGAATTTTTAATTCCAGCTATATTTTTTCATTTTAATGCCCACTTAATGGGACACTTTATGTACACCAGTCTTGAAGAATGGCTCACATAGTGTATTTCAGACTGAGCCACATTTTTGGTATCACAATACATTTGCTTTATTTATTATAAGAAAAGTAAAAGAAGAGACTGTAACAATGAACTTTTACCCAGTTAAAATATTATATACTTGCCCTTCCCAATAACTATTAGCAAACATTTGAATAACTTTATAAGCTTATGAAAAAGTTTGCCCTCATAAACCTGTGTTTCTGTGGTTAAAAATTTAAGTGTTAATATTAAAGAAGACAAGAACCCAGAATGACAAATAACATAAAGGGAGATTTAAAAAGAAAAAAAGTAGGCCCAGCTAAAGGAACACCTGAGATCTTTGACCTTTTCTGTTCCCTCTCTGTAATCTCTCTGACATTATTGGCAACTTTGTTTAAAGGGGGAAAAACTCTCTTACATAATGGGAGGGGAGGAAAAAAGTCCTATGTTATAACATAAAATTAACAGAGCCTTACTATTTCCTTCCTATTCAAAGACCCCGTCCACTGTGGAGCGTGACAAACTACGGTAACCCTTGTTGAGGGGTGGCAACATAGAAGATGAGCTCTGTTCCCCCCAAGAGAGCTACAGTCCAGTTGGCAATAAATAAAGATGGCAGTGTGGCCTCGGCCGCATCAGTGAGCCCTGGTTCCGTGCTGAGAGCCTCACTTCCACTCCACTCCTCGGTGCCAGGCCAGCTCCAGGGGCCTGCGGAGCCCGTGTTACCACCACCCCCTGTCCTAGGTGAGAGGAGGCCAGTCTCTGAATGCACACTTTGTTTGTTCCTCCATCAACGGAAGGTCCGATTCATTGAGAGAATTACTTTCTGACCATGTCCTTGATTATTTTTTTTAAATCCTTGTCCATCCCCTCCCCACACCTTCCAACTTGGCCAGTTACCTCAGGAAAAGTTTTCAGGATCACTTCTGACCTCTTCTCAAGATTTTAGAGAAAAAAAATCAAGTTTATGACAGTGTTATTGTCTTAGATGAATGGAAATTGTGTGTAATAGAAAAATAACACCCTTAGATGGGCCAGAAGTTTATTTTCTGAATCTTCACAGACTCCATCTCCTTATGTGACTTTGACTTGAGACAATTACATGAGTGCTTTATTCTGTTCCTATTTTGCTAACATTCCTCTTCTTTCCCACAACTTTTCAACTGCTGCGAGTAAGCAGGATTTTAAGATCTGGCCTGCCTGGTAAGTTAACCACCATATGTAATTGGGGTTTTTTGTTGTTAACAGTGTGTAAAATGTGTAAAATCAAAAATGTGTTAGATTCCACGTGATCACCTGACCCACACACTCGGGCCACGGCTGTTCGGAAGCTGAGATTTCTTCTAGGAAAGATCGAGAAGCAGTTGGCAGATTCATTGTCAGATTGCACCAGTAAGAATTAACTGGGTTTAGGGGAAGTGAAGTGAAGTGAAGTCGCTCAGTTGTGTCTGACTCTTTGCAACCCCATGAACTGTAGCCTACCAGGCTCCTCCGTCCATGGGATTTTCCAGGCAACAGTACTGGAGTGGGTTGCCATTTCTTTCTCCAGTGGATCTTCCCAACCCAGGGATCGAACCTGGGTCTCCCTCATTGTAGGCAGACAGTTTACCGTCTGAGCTACAAGGGAAGCCTTGTCAGTTTAGGGGTTTAGGGGAAGAAGTGATAACTGTGCTGGAGGGGTCTGAGAAGGTCTGTGAGGCTAGCTCTTAAAAGCGGGGTGGCATTTAGAGAAGTGTTTCCAGAAGTGAGATGAGGGAGCATGTATTGTTCTCAGCAGAGGCTATATCTTAGGACACTTGTGAGACCTTCTCGGTACAGAAGGCTGCACTGCTCCCACGCTGAAGTGCTGGCCCCTTCCTCTCCCTGCGCTCCTCTGTGCCCTTGCCCCCTCACACAGCCCCTCTCTTCTGGAGCCAGCCCCCAGCTTCCACCTCAGTGCTGCCTAGAGAAGAAATGACGGGCTGAGCTGTTACCCCTGGGGCTACACTGAGCTTGTGCACGAAAGTCCGCAGAAGCAGAAAGAAAGGGGGAACAGGTGAACAGTTGAAAGGTAGGATCTCCCGAACAGAGATCAGGAGAAACAGGTTTGGCTGGTTTTCCTCTCCTGCTTGTAGGCCAGTTTCAGGTGTTTCCTTGGGAATTATTTCCTGGGCCACTGCTGGTTCCAGAATGAGTATTTCAGACTTAAAGTAGCTAGAGAGTATTAAGTTCCACTGGTGTCTCTTTCCTGGTTAGGTGATTGATTGTGAGCTGAAGTGAAGATAAAATTTCTAATCACCAGTTTGGTGTACATAGTCACTTGTACATATAATTCCTAGCTGGTTCATTATGCACGCTGAAGACCCCAAACCCTCAAAACTCAAATGAGGGCTTTTTACAATGGACTCAAACCTGTCTTTAATGACATTCTGAGGGCCTGGTTTCTCATTTAAAACCTAGGGAGCCAGAGATTCAGCTTAAACGTAGAAGGGTCTTTATTCTAAGACCTAGAGATGTTAAGAAAACCTAACCAATGGATGATTCTGGGCTCATTAACATCAGAGAAGGGGAAGGTATCAGAATAGAGGAGGGAGGGAGGGAAGGGACATTGGCTGTCTCCAACTTTACCCCAACCAAGATTCTGATTTGTTTCCCCCTAGAAGGCTCAGACGGTAGAGAACCCGCCTGCCGTGCAAAAGACCCGGGTTTGATCCCTGGGTTGGGAAGATATCTTGGAGAAGGGAATGGCAACCCACTCCAGTATTCTTTCCTGGAAAATCCCATGGACAGAGGAGCTTGGCAGGCTACAGTCCGTGAGGTCTCTAAGAGTCAGACACGACTGAGCAACTAAGACTTTTCACAGAAGAGCATCTTCTTTTCAGGCTATGTAAGAAACAACTTACTTCAAATCAGTGGGATGTGAATGAGGACTCTTGTTTCATGGTAGGGTCAGCCATCTCTATGGGCAGCAGTGAGGCATTGTTAAGACTGGCCTTCAAAGAGAAGTTTAATTCTGCCTTTGCAAAGGAATTAAAGATTGTATGAAGGTGGGCCCCTCCACCTAAACTTAAAACCCTCTTTGCTTATTCCTTTTTGTAGTATACTTAGGATAAGGTGTGAGCTCAAATATGCTGCCACGGGAAGGATAATACAGAAGTTTGGTTGTGTGGGAGGGTGGGACAAGTATCCTTCAAACCAAAGGTTTGCTTTTTGAGCTTTAAAAAAATGAAAAGTCACCATCACCAAGGGCGCTCTCGCTGGCAGCCCAGAGCCTCCATGTTGTTTGGGCCTCATCAAAACCTCAGGGCCTAAATAAAAATATTTTGTCAACAAAGTTACGGGCAGCTCTGTTCCTAATTGAAAGTAATTATGATTTCTGTGCTGTGGTGTAATTACCTAAAAAAGAAACAACGTTATTTGACGATTAAGATTCTGGAGTGAGCCGTGTTTTTTGCGGTCTCGCTCCGCTCCTCCATCAGGGACTTGGTTTCCGCGGCCTGCAGCTGCTGGGGCTGATTTACAGAGCTGCGGCTGTGGCTGGTCATAAATAAATCCTCTTATATAGTTATTATGAACACCTGTTAGATCATCTGTCAGCAAAGCGCTGTTCACATTTATCATGGTGCGGTGGTTATTTTACCTCAATCCATTTCCAACTGACTCAGCCTCCATTCCTGGATCACTATTACCACACCATGATCGCTCGCTCCCACTCCATGTTACAACTTGCAGATAAAAGATTTCACTACTTGGCCAAATTTCATAAATAAAGGAGCAGTTCAGTGCAGTAAAAGTTTATTTTTGTCATCATTTGTCACCCCATTATTCCATAAATCAAATGGAATAGCGCTATTGCCAGCTCAGGCGTTGCTGTCAGCCTCAGGCATGGAAATGGTCCGTTTCTTCCTTTTAGATGAGATCACATGTCTTTCAGACTTAACTGGCTTATGGTTTTGTTTCACCCATTTTATTTTATTGCCCCTCCAGAAAAAGCCCTGGGGAACAGAAAGACTTACGGAGTGAAATGGAAACAGAACACAAGCCCAGCACACCACTCGGCTCCGTGGTCTGTGCTCCCCCGTCCAGTCCCCAGGAGCTTGACCACCGCTCGGCTCCGTGGTCTGTGCTCCCCCGTCCAGTCCCCAGGAGCTTGACCACCACTCGGCTCCGTGGTCTGTGCTCCCCCGTCCAGTCCCCAGGAGCTTGACCACCGCTCGGCTCCGTGGTCTGTGCTCCCCCGTCCAGTCCCCAGGAGCTTGACCACCACTCGGCTCCGTGGTCTGTGCTCCCCCGTCCAGTCCCCAGGAGCTTGACCACCGCTCGGCTCCGTGGTCTGTGCTCCCCCGTCCAGTCCCCAGGAGCTTGACCACCGCTCGGCTCCGTGGTCTGTGCTCCCCCGTCCAGTCCCCAGGAGCTTGACCACCGCTCGGCTCAGTGGTCTGTGCTCCCCCGTCCAGTCCCCAGGAGCTTGACCACCGCCCGCACTCACACCCCGAGTCCTGGGCTGAGGATGGCTTTCATAAACTTCGGAGGGACTGTAGTTTCTGTTAGGGAAAGGCTGTTACGACGTGGAGTTAACAGGCATTGAAAAACCTGACTTGTGTCTCCAGAGACCTCGATTTGACAGACTTTATGCAAAGAAGAGACGCAGGAGTTTCTTTGCTAAGGTGCACGTTAATGGCGCTGGGGTTTCCAAAGGGAATGGTCAGCCCCAGAGCATGTCTTGCCCCTGAAGCCTTGTCAGCTGAGGAGCTCTGGAGGGACAGTCAAGACTTTTAGCGAGTCGAGAACTCTGTCTCGGGCAGAAGTCTGAGGAAGGCGGTGTCCCTTGGTTGAAAGGAAGAGGACAGAAGAGCTGAAGGAATGGGCTGATAGAAAAGGGTTTATAGTTGACATTATACATCCTCGTTGGTTCTAATTCAAGTTACATTCTTCATAGTCATTATGTAGCTCATAAATTCAATAAAGTGTTTTACTGTTACTATAAAAATGACAGGAGGGGGGTTTTATGTTATAAGTTTCCTTAGTTGCTCTTCCTGTTTTATGTTGAAGTTCTCAGGCCATTATGTCATTAAACTCCTTGGAGTCTGAAGGGCTCAGGCCCCTCCATTTCTTGCCTGGTGCACACTTGGCCCCGTCAGCCCTGGCCAGGCCTCCCCACTGGATGCTCAGTGCCAGCTGGCCGTGGTGCCAAGAGGGCACGGCTGCCTGAATCTGTTATTTCACGAGAAACAGCTTCCATCTCTGAAGATGTGTAGCGAGGAGGCCTGGAATACAGGGTCAGCTTGAAGCAGACTGCTCCAGGGGCTCTTGAAAATTCTAAAGAAAGAGTCCTTTTTTATCGGCAGGAAGGAGATTTGCTGGATGGGGTGTCATAGCTCCAGGCTCTGTGGACCCAGGAACTGGTCTCTGCATCAAGACGGGTCTTAACACTGACACTGCTAACTTACTGTTCAGTCGCCAAGTCATGTCCGACTCTTTGTGACCCCATGGACTGCAGCATCGCAGGCCTCCCTGTCCTTCACCATCTCCCAGAGTTTGCTCAAACTCATGGCCATTGAGTTGGTGATGCCATCCAACCATCTCATCTTTTCCCCCTTCTCCTCTTGTTAACCTTTGCCTAGGCTCTAAGTCCTTGATAAAGTCCCAAGCAAATTTAAGGTTGAAACCTTATGGGATTTTTTGGAGAGGAAACACCACTCTCTTGACTGTTCTTTGATTCCAGAAGCAGCAAAGGGCATTTCTGCCCTAGGAAACTTTGCTTTCTCCAGATGTTTGTTTTGAACAGAATATCCACACGGAAACAGCAACTACTAATTCTCTGGCCAGCGTGCGTCAAGGCCTTAATCTAAAGCCTCCCATCCATCCAGCTGTCTGGCATTTGCTATTATAGGGCACCAACAGAGAAATGAGGCTGTGGCTTTATCACTGCACCCTGGGTGACAACTTGATTTTCTGCTTTCACCACAGGCAGCACAGCCCACCATGATGGGGCTGTTAATTTGTGCATTTCATGGTGTCTGTCAGGGGGGCTGGGAGAGGAGGGTTTCGGGGGAGAGGGAATGGAGCATGTCCCAGCCGCGGAAGCACCTGTCTGAATTGACGGCACAGAAGCACTTCTTATTAGCGTGCAGGTCTCTAGATGCAGCCCGGGATGACAGCCTGGCATCCCAGCACCCACACACTGTGACAGGCGCCGGCAGCCGGTCCCATTGTTTGCCCTTGACGAGCATGTCATTAATGGAAATGGAAGAAAGTGAGGGCCACATCAGTATTCAAATAGCCTCTATTCTCTCTGCCATTCACCCGGCTGGCTCAGCCTGCTGCAGATTTCCTTCTGCAGGCTCCTCTTAGACTTAAAAAAAAAAAAAAAGATTTATTCCCATGGCATATAGATCCTCCCCATGTTGTTTCTGGTCTCTTCCCATCCTGTGTCTGCAGCCACCTCTCTAGGTTGGATTCAGCTGGATCAAAGGAGATGTGGGTTCCTGTGGGTTGCAAAGGTCAAATTAGCCAGTGCACAGGCTGTTTGCTGCGCAGAAAATGCACTGTCACCCTCGAAACCTCTTCCTGTGACTCCCGAATCCTGCATCTCCTCTGGGGAGGTGGTGGCTGCTCAGGCGCCTCTCAGAAATACCTGAGAGCTCGGAGCCCTGGAGGAGAGAATCTGACTCCAAGAGTGGCTGGCTGGCGAGGAAAACAGCCCTCCTCTTTCTCAAGTTGAGTAAATTAAAGAGAAGTTAAGGAAGCTTCCTAACAGTCACTGGTTGGAAAGAACTGTGTATCACGCACGATTACTGACAGTCAAGTGGAGGGTGACTGGGCCCTAAATACGTGTTTCCGTCCCTCAGACCCTGTGTTGGTCTGTTTGCTTAATAAGGTAATTAGTGCTCCGGGGGAGGATATCGACGCTGCTGCTAGCAGCCATTGCTCTTGCGTGCGTTTCTGTCGCCCACTGGACTTTCGTGTTTCCTAGCTGTGCACACACACACCCTTACACACATCTACACATGCATGCCTCCCACCCATGCCCAGGGGCCCCCTCTCCCAAAGTGAGCCCTCGTGCTTACCCCCCGCGCCCCTACATTCTCTGCCTAGTCCTGTGTTTGCAAGATTCACATCTCCTCCATTCAGATGGAACATTCCTAGAGGCGGACCGCAGGGAAAGCCCACTTCTCACTTGTCTCTGGCCTTTTAGTAAGGAAAGGCCAGCAGAACTGCCTGCTGTGCATCCCTAGCAAGGTCCCTGATCTGGGGCTCCTCCGTCAGCGCTCTCAGACACCACCCATCTTCTAAACTAGCCTGGCCGGAGGTGGAACACAGACGCCCCTGCTAGATGCCTGGCCAGGGGGCTCAGGCCTGCTCCCTCACCAGCGCTGTGCTCTCCCCTTACCCCATCTGGAGTCGAACGGGGTAGTGCTTGCTTTCACGAGCTGTTTTTTCCCCTGAAACAGGGACTCTGACTGAAGAAGCCGTGTCTTTCTGCTCCTAGTTGAGGGGCCACAGTGTGGTCGGGCTCGGGGTAAACGTCCATGGAGCTGTTCCCATCCAGGTATCATGACCCCTCTATGGACCTGGGGGATCCGAGAACAGATTTTCTCAGGTGTTTATCTGACAACCTACAAAGCCCCCCAACCTTTCTCCAGGAGAAGCCCAGAGGGGTGATAATGGTCGAAAAAGCCAGGTCGTAAATTGGGCTTTCTCTGCTCACTTGCTTTGGAGCTGACTCCACGGAGGGCAATTTAAAAGGAACAGAAGCAGGCTGAGAACAAAACTCCCAATGCTTTAGCCTCAGTGTCAGAGTGATGGAAAATAATTTTCACATTTGATTAATTATTAAGAGATCTGTTT